GATAGCTTCTGGATTCTTTTTCCCACAAAGCTTCTTGATTCATTTAGTCCAATTCAAACTAGATTTATCATAAACATGATAAGGATTGATCAATTGATAATGCGTTTCAGAAAGCTTTTCAAGGGTGTATGTTATTTCAAAAAAGTGTTTTTGTTTTGAAAACATGGGTCCTAAATCAAGGGAAGAAGAAGAAGAAGGAAAACCTACAGAAGTATCAGAAATACTATCATCTGCCATTTTTGAAAATAATTGTATAGTGTTGACTGTGCAAAGATAAAGGTAGGTTAAAGGGTAACTTTCCTTACTGGTTTATAAAGTATGAACTCCACTCCAGGCCTCTTGCCAATTTTAGAGTTTCTGTCATATAAACCACATAAAGTTTTGACAGTGGATTGTCAACTTCATTTCAAGAAATTAACCTTTAATTCGTATTCTGTTTTCTGATGCGAGAGATCGTAGACCAGCTACATAGACGGAGAGCATACTAATCCGAATACGGACTATAGATTAACCCAACCAACAGTGTACTAAAATAATCTCAACAGCATGATCCAGGCTCTGATACCAATATAGATGTGCATAAACAATTTAAACAAACAGATAGAACAAACAAACAACAGTCATGAAACAAACATGGGGAAAGTGAAGGCAACTGACACCATTCTCTGTTACAATAACTAAATTCAAAGTAGATAAATAATTAGAAAAAGAGAGAGAGAGAGAGAGAGAGAAAACAAAATTAAAGAGCCTTATAAAATTAAGAACAAAGTGAAAAGCACATGAAATATCCCGAAAAGTAAAAAAAAATGGGGTCCAATATCTCAAAGGAAAATCAAGAATGTGCCCGAAGTACCAAGTCGATTTCAGTACTCAAGACAATCAAGGGACATTAGTTTGACAGGTTATGATTAAGGAACTCTCCAAGTGAACCTAAAAGACCTTGACCATTTGAACTTCAAAGTTAGGTGGTTGAGGAACGAAATTAGAAGTCTGAGGAGATCCTAAGCATTTAGGGGCAATATCCCATATTCTTGAGTTAGATGCCTAAAAATAGGTTAAAATTCTACCCAAGGGCATAGATGATTGTCCAGTGTAAACATCTGGCCGTGGCCTTGATTGACGACATGAGGCGCGTCATCAAGCCCAGAAAGTGTAACGATGTGATGCAAATCGTCAAACCAGAAAACATCAAAACTATGCGAACCGCGTCGTTAATCTCATAGATTTGACGATGAATATCGCAACATCAACACTTTCTAGGTCCAGATGAATTCTAAATTTTGGGGTAATTTTTTTTTTGACCTTTTGGAATTTCTGGAACAAGTTTGAGCTAGCTTTTTTACTGGATTTGACCAAATATGACCTAATCCTATCACCAATTAAACTTTATCATGGATCTAAGATGCCTAACCCCAATGGAACTACTACCTAATTGGATCCTATATAAAGCCCCCTAGCCTCTCATAGTTAACCAATTAAAGTCCTTAAAAAATCTTAGAAAAACCTTAGAAATTAAAAGCTATCCAAGAAAATTATGAGAAAAATACCCAAAAATTCTTACGCTAGCTTAAACTCAAAAGCCAAAGGAAGAAAACCCTACGTGAAACCCTAAGCCAATTCTTTACAATTTTAAAAACTATAATTTCAAATTCAAAACCTACATTCCCTAAGTATTTCTTTTCAGCCAAAAGCTCTAGAGTGGGGAATGAAGACACTTCAACCACCAATCTAATCCTCCAGTCCACGTGCTGAGCTAGAGGGACCATATTCTACATAAGTTTTATTTTCTTTAATTTTGTGCTTTTCTTTAATTTTGTGCTTACTTTATTCTTTTTATTTTCCTTTATTTCTTTCATTGGTTTATTTTCATGGATATTGCGTGATTTCAATTCGGTTCTGCCGGCAGTTCGTAGAGAGGGCTTATCTTTCGAGATCAATATCTATCTTTGAACTATAATTTGACTGATCCCCACAATATTTATCGATTATAATTTTGAACAATTTGAAGCACAAATTTGTGGAGGTTTTATAAGAGATCTCTTCAGGTTTGGCTGTAAACAACTTGGAGATGACCAAGCATGACCTTTCACTATGTCAAAAAAGCATGTAAACAAGTTGGAGCTGACCGAGCATGAACTTTCACTATGTCAAGAAGCATGGCAGAGACAGAAATAATTCTAAATAAATGGTCTTTCAAATTTGCCCAAACTTCTTTGTATCAGAAAAGTTCCATGTACTTCGTAAGATCATTGTAATTTGTGATGCACATTGTTGCATTGCGTATAGGAATGGCCTCAAGGCTAGGTGGTCAAGTTGGTGAGATGTCATAATGTGATATCTTGAATTTCATTCCTAATCGGGGACCCCTCCCCCAAAAAACAAAGCTTGCGTTGGTCATATACAATCTAAGAATATGAATTAAAAGCGAAACATACCACATCACATTGTTGTGTCAGGGGCTCCTCTAGGTGCCACGCCAAAATACATTTTAGTGTTGTTACTGTGACATTTTAGCTAATCACTAAAACTGATGTCAGTTTACAACATATTCAGGTGTAGCTACACTAAAGATCTGCAACCATTTGAGTGATGAAAACTGAAAATACCAACGTTCTTCCCACTGGCAGAAACACCACATTTCATTTTGAAAAAACATGTATTGACCAAAACACTTGATACAATCGAGCTCTAGAAAAATGGAAGTCTTCAAATTCTGTTTGCATCAATAATATGAAACAAAAACCGATGCATAAATATTACTTTTGGGATGAAATTCCAAATATGTTGCACTTATATGAGATGCCTGATTCATATTTTGTCACTAGCATAGCTCACACTGATTATGCGGTTATAAAAATTTATTCCATCAATGAATTCCAAATACACTCACTGTAAGGATGATAAAAGGCATAATCTTGATCACAAAAAGAGCTGTAAAATGGATAAGGAACCATTATCCTCACAGTTTCACCCAAAAAAAGCATGTTTGGATGGTGTAAAAGTCCTGGATAGCACGACATTTTTTATAAGACCCACATAAATGGATGTTTGGCATAGACAAATATCCAGTTCCAGAATTCTTGTTCTTTCTAGCTCTAGGGCCAAGACAAGCATGACCAAAAAATTGCAAATAATGTGGAACAGATCTATGGGTGCCACATATGGTTATTACTGCTTATCAGCAAATATTTACAACGATCAACATACGTTCGACACATGCTGAGTAGATGGTTCCATGCAGCTACTTATAAACCACAAGCAAACACCTAAAAAGTTCAAAAACTTCTACATTGATGCTAGGAGAATTTGGAATGGCCAACATTATCATGTTTCCTTGGCCTAAACATTTACAACCTGAATATTTTGCAGTAATCAAAACATAGATGTTGAAATGCAGTTCAAAGGAAATCAGGACTATAGTTCAACTGTGAAACTGAAACTGATCAAATGGATGGAACACTAAAAGGAAGGTGCTGTCATAATAAATAAGATGCCTCTTTACAAAATTGCATGTTCCCAGAGAACATTATAAGTTTACATGCCTTTTAGAGCAGATGGTTTAGAAAGGGAAATCATTTAGATTCTAGGTTCATGTCACAGGAATTGCCGGAGTTTTCAACTGGTTTCCACTCTAGAATTTCAAAACAAAGTGATTCTACGACATTTAGAGCTGCATCTGATAACATTTTGTTCAAATAAGTCCCAACCCAAGCAGCATTTCCCATCGTAAGAGATATTTTGCTCAGATCAGTATGGGGATGAGATCATAACTAATTTATAATAAGAATCTGATAGCAACACCCATCAGTATGGATCAGAAAGACCACAAAAGAGATGGATACATGAACGTAATACTGTACACAATTTTGCTAAAGATTCTGATCAAGTTTGGCTCCTGAAGGCATAGTCTTCAAACAAAGGACTAGTTGAACCACCAGGTTTGCTCTTTGGGTTCAACCAAGTAGGCAAGATTCTCCCCCCTTGACCGTGATGGTCATCGGTCATTTCACTATCATCAAGATCTATGACACACTTATTCCCTGCATCTCTGCAATCCATGTCCCACTTTTCCGCCGCCACTGAACTAAACTTGTCCCTTATCTCATTTTTGTCCACATCAGTAACCCTTTTCTTTGACAAACTTACATCCTCAAAGAAGTCATCATTTGGGAGGGGATTTGTAGTTGGAGTAACAGATGTCTCTCGCCTCCTCTTGTAAGATTCAATGTTTTCATAATTGCCACTGACATTTTTCTCTGATTTATGGTATTCTTTCAGCGTAGATTCAATTGTTTCTAATAAACGATCTCCATATTTCTTTATCTTTGCCCTAATATCAGGAATCCACTTTCAGTAAATTTTACATATTTTGAGACGTGAAGAAGATGCAAATAGATACAATACTTACTTTCCAATGCCACTAATCTCCAAAAGTTCCTCTTTTGTTCTTGGAACTCTCTCGCTGATCTCCTGCAAGGTGGCATTTCTACAGAAAAAAGATGACAAACCTTACAGAAGTAAGCCAAGGACAAATTTAACCAAACATAAAATATTAAGGAACAAACAAACTTGATCCAAGAAAAAATTCGTACCCAAAGATGTGGTAAGCCATGACTCCTTCACCAGCCTCTTTCACAAGCATGGTTCGAAGTGTGCGCAATGCAGAAAAAAGTAGTGCTGAGAGTTTCTGCAACAAAATATTCAGCATGAAGTTCATGAAGCTAAACATTTCTAATAATGAAAAATATAACAGCTGGCTTGAACAAGGAGAAAAGAAAGATGCAACATAATCTTTGAGAAGATTACCGGATCCGCCTCTGATTGAGGTTGTGTAGGACTATCATATATTTTGGGTGTCTTCCCTAGTTGAAGTTGGCCCTTAGCTGGAGTCACTTCGGGCTTCTCTGGTTTATTTGCCTTTTGGGGGACAGCAAATCTGAAATAAGTATATAGGATAAATATCATATATAAAGAATTTTATCGCACCATAATTGCAACATCCATTCCAAGCCATAAGACGGCTTAGTTGGTTCTCATCAACAAGGTAACCAGTCTCAGAAGACAGCAGACATCACAAAGTGTGGACTTGGCTTTTCAGTTATAAATCAAACATGACACATCAACCCATTCATTCCCTCCTTGTAATGAGTCATACAGACATTCTCTGAACTTAATCTAAAAACCAAACGAAAGAGAAAAGAAACAGGCCTGAAAAAGAAAGGCTAACTATTTTCTGCATATTCAAAGTTTCAAACAAAAAAGCTTCAAAGAGCAGTACCTAACATAAGAATCCACCATGCTACATGGTGCACATACAATTATTTAAAAGAAGATAATGTACCAAAGTTAATGTCAATCAAGAATGTAATCTTATATACAAGCACCTGTAAAGAGTATGCTTGCTAATGCTTGCTAAGTCACGAACACTATCTAACTGGTTGTCAAGCAGTGGAAAGAGTATGCTTGCAAAGTCAGGAACACTATCCAACTGGTTGCCAAGCAGCAAACTATCCCAGTATTGTTTCTACATTGTCTATGTGTTTGTTGCAGTTTTTTTTTTTGTGTGTCTATAAAAACTCACTGGTTCCCAGGTCTATATAGGCACTGTATCCCAATACAACCACTTTTCCACTGGTCCTGAACAGGGATACCTGGGCCACTGGTTCAAACCTGGCTGGGACCCCATGGAAGCTGAGCCAGTTCTTGGTCAAACTCAGGCAAGTCCTGGCCTAGTCTGAACATTTTTTACTGTTGATTGATGCAGGGCAAAAAAGTAAAAGGCCTGTTTATCAGCCCTCTCTCGATTTGAAAGCGACTTCTGAAAAAATTCACCAATTTCATGGATTTGAGAGAAATTGAAATTCACATTTCAAGTTCAAAAAAGATTCGGCAAACCTCAGGTCAAGTTGATTCAAAGCCTAGCCCAAAGAACACATAGGGGGTTCAATTTCACAGGCTTCTAGAGTCGATCTACGGCTGCTAAATAATTTTACATTGTTTACACTGCATAACTTTCATCTTTTCCTCTTTTCCTTTTAAAACCCATGATATGGTTCCATTTCTTCAAAATAATCACGATCAACACCGATCTAGGCTTCATTTCATTTTCACCTGGATTTGTTTTTTCTGTCAACCAACAGCCATTGTTAAAAAATATGTACAAACTATCAATAGAATTGAAAAAATTTCATTTTTATTTTAGCATTGAATGTGTTTGCAAATATAATGTTTTAGTATTGTACACTGTTTTCCCCAATTTATTCTTGATTTATAAGAAATTATTTCTGAACTTTTTTATTTTTTAGCATGAAATTGCTTTCTATTTTATTTTCTAGATGTAGGTGGCTCAGTTTGGGTGCAAACAGTTACTTTTTAAAAAAAAATTGGGAAGGAGCAATTTTTTGGATAGTGAAGTGCTTTCTGGTTTTATTCTTCACGTGTTTGCATGTCTGATAGTTTTGCAGACGCCAATCCTCACCAAACACATTAAGTTTGGGCCCAAAAAACAATTTTTTGGAGAAAAATTTGGTAACAATCAATTTTTAGGCATTGAACTGCTTTCTCTTTTTGAACATGTACTTGGGCATGCTTTTAAGGTTGCCAATCCTCAGCCATAAGTTTTTAGTTCGAGTGCAAATAATTAATTTTTTAATAAAAATTTGGAAATGAGAAATTTTTCAAGCATGAAAATGCCTTTTGATTTTTTTTTTTCTTCGTTCATTGATATGTGTACATTCCAGTTTTAAAGCAGGTACACCTTTGGATTTTGCAGTATGCCACACAGAAAAGAGAAACCTGGTAAGGAGTACGAGGAAGGGTATTTCCCCACAGGGAGGTTAAGATTAGATGCATTTTATGTAAGGAGTAGAGTGGTGATATCAACTGCCTGAAATTGAAAGTGAGGTCGATGTTGTAGCATGTGATAGGTGCTAAAGAATGCACAACAACAAATCCTGGCAGTCATCACTTCGTCAAAGGAGAAGAAAGTCACAAAAAAAAAAATATTAAAAAAGAGGGTTAAGGAGATTGGTAGCCAATACTATGCCCCTACTCAAGAGGGAAGGCATGATGATGAGGATTTTGAGACCCAACAAGAAATTATGAGGGGCACAAGTTTAGAGGATCAGCATTGCAGCAAACTTGTATGAGGATGTTTGGAAATAGGGGATCCTTAGGGGCAAGCACGAGCCACATTGTTAATTATACAAGGAGTTGCACATTGGGTTTGCCAAGTCTGTGAGCATTATAGACTGCTGGATGGTTATGAGCTCAACCTAGCCAATCTCCTTAACCCACCAAGGCATCTAGCTTACCCAAGGTCTAATTGCCCTTTCCTTTCAGAGTCATCAGCAAAACAGAGGACCACCAAATCAGTTTTGCTAAGAGTATAAGGAAGCGCCCAATGAGTGCAACTAAGAAGTTCTTTTATGATGTTGCCATTAATTTCAATAGGACCAACAGTGAATACTTCGCGCCCATGATATCCACAATCAAGGTACCAGGACTCAACTTGGCCAAGGTACTCGTCCATTGGCCAAACTGAGTTACTCGAGCAAGTCCAAGTAACTCACCTAAGTCAAGCCCATGTTTAAAAAAAAAATGAAAAACAACCTATTTGTAACAGCAAAGCTCAATTGGCACACTAGTTAAATGATGTGGATCCTCAATAAAAGGGTGAGGGGTGGTCGAATTACGCCCATACATATGTATTTTTTCAATTAACCCCGTTAAACCTTATTTGAACGATGCCTATTTTTTAATAAAAAAAATATAGGATGGCATATAAGGAGATTTGAACCTTGGACGTGAGGCTATTGAAGCGTACGTATTAGCCATCAGGTCATTTGAGCACTGCTTGAATGAAAATGGGCATACATAACATTTATATAAGTGCACACTGTACACGACCTTGCCCATAGGCCGAGTGCGAGTAACTCGCCAAAGTCCAAGTCACCTCAGGCGAGTCATGGAACAGTGTCCACAATAGTTAATGCAAGGCCAGAAATTAAGCCCCTCACTGCACATGAGCTTAGTGGGCCCTGCTGAAGTGAGGAGGTAGCGAAGGTTAGCCTCATTGTGGATGAGCAGACACAAATGTGGGAGAGAATAGGGATACCCATCATGTAGATGGCTAGGACATCATGGGCAACCCCTGATTAATTTCTTGGTGTATTGGCCACAAGAGACATGCTTCTAAAGCAATGTAGATGCCTCTAAACTGAAGAATAGGAAGATATTGATCGGGAAACTTGATAATGTAATGAAAGTTATTCGTGATTAGCACGTAGTCCCATAAATAACAGCCAAAATCAAGAACTATGTCAACTCGGGAAAAAGCTTAATGAGGAAGAGGAAGAATTTGGTATCGAGCCTCTATGGTGCCCACTACATCAACCTGATGCTCAAAGACATTAGGCAACCTAAGTGGGCTAAAGCCCTTGTCGAGTAGGGAAAGACTGTTACCAAATTCATGTAAAATTTTTCATGGGTTCAAAATTTTATGAGGCGATATACAATGGGGAGACATCTAATGGTTAGTAATCTTACAATTCACCACCCCCTTATCCATCGATTTGATATTAAGGCCGCAACCTAGGCTTAAAAATATGGTAGCATCAGATGACCGGATCAATGTCTCTCTCTCAAAAACTCAAGCTGCAAGAAAAGTTGAAGGGATATTAAAAAATGGGAGATTATGGTACAGAGATTGTAGTAGCTACAGCTCATCTGGAGATAATTTTGAAGATGGTGGACTAGCATAGAAGCCCGCTTTGGGATTCTGGTATGAAGCATGTTATTGCACAAAGCAGGTCATCAAAGCTACATTTATATTCCATCAGAAAGTATGAAAGATGACGTCTGACCAATGGAACAGCCTGTTGCATCAAGTGATACAAGCTGCAAGAAGGTTTAAAATTTAAACATATCATACTTATAGCCATTTCAATTCAACTATGAACTTATAGTTTATGATTGATGAGGATTCATGTAGCTAATCAAGACATCTTGTCTTACACATGAGAGCTATCTAGGTTTCTTCTTCAAATCTAGCATAATTCCATGCCCCAGTACAACCAACCCACCACGAGATCATTGAAAGGGTGAAATATTGCATCAAAAGATTTGAGCGAGATGAACAAGTGCAAACTGAAGCTTTGATGGAGGTAAGAATGACGTTCTAGTAAAGAAATTTCCCCAGTTTAGGGCATTTATGATGTATGTAATTCACAATTATAAAGAAATAAACCTCGATTTTTCCCTTCAATTTCTTTAAATATGGATGGGAAATGGAAGTTTGAGACAAACCTTGCTAGAAAATCTTGCACTCAGCTAGGTCCAAGATAGCATTAAAGTTCTTATAGCCCTATATTATTTCATTGCACATTCTTTTACTGTTCTTATGAGTTCCTTGTTTTTTCAACAAAGTGATGAGAACTACAAGGCACTAGATTTCTCCAACTCCAAAGAATCGGGACGAAGGTACTTAACCAAACATATTCTGCAAAAGGGGTATGAATGAAACTAAAATGCATTCTAGTTGATCCACATGCCAAGGAGAAATGGATTGGCAAGAACCAGGCTTCACAATGTGGACTATGTCCATCACAACTTAAAAAAAGCAACATTCAATGAGGGCAGGTGAGTACGATGACCCTATAAAATTTTAATCACATCTTTGTAGAGGATTGACCAAAGGAGTGTTTGGCGAAAGTCGAGGAACCACTTCTTAATAAGAGGGTACTGGAAGAAGAGTTGGGGCCTATGGCAACAAAAAGGAGAGCTAGGTGAGACTTAAGATGCACAAGTTCGAGGAGGTGTACAAGTTGAAGAACAGGGGAAGATGGAAGAGGAAATGATGATGATGATGATGTTGAGACCACCAAAGCAAACGGCTGTGACAAATGGGGCCCCAAGTGCAAGCACGAGTAGCACTGC